TATGTAACTAAGTTTATATATATATAAGTTGAGTATAGTATAGTGTGTTAGTTTTATCTTCCTCTTCATACGCCCTAAAACCTCCACGGCTGGACAGTAGCCTTTTCCCCTTGGAGAAATTATTTTTCTTAATCGTCACGCTTGGTAGGTGCAAAATGCTATAGAGGTCGCACTATTAGACGTTTCGTACCTTTGACGAATACTTTATGCTTATCATGAACGAGATGGTTACACCACAATCTATCGGAAGCTATGTTTCTGGCATTTTCCCCCAAACAAGAGAATGGGTAAATACGAGGGTGGATTGAAAAGTACTCGGCCTAACCAAGAAAATAAACACATACTAAATCAGTTACATTTTTATTTTTCTACATAATCACCATCAAGTTCAATACACTTTTGCCACCTCCCCTTCCAAGCATTTAGACCGTTGAAAAAAAAATGATTCTTCCTTAGAGTCAAAATATGCGTCTACAGCTGCTTTGACCTCGTCGTTTGTCGAAAATCTTTGACCTCCCAAGTGCTTTTTTAGGTTAGGGAACAGAAAGAAGTCTGATGGTGCCAGATCAGGTGAATACGGCGGATGCGGTAACAGTTCAAAGCCACAGTTGTGAATTTCAGCCATTGACTGTACTGACGTGTGAACACGGGCGTTATCTTAATGAAACAGAACTTTTCTTCTGAGCATTCCTCGACGTTTTTCTTTTATTTCCTCTCGTAAACGACGTAGTAAGGTGCAGTAGTAATCAGAGTTTATAGTCTGACCCCTTTCAAGATAATCAATCATAATCACACCTTTCGAGTCCCAGAATAATGAAGCCATCACCTTATTTGCCGACAAAATCGACTTAGCCTTTTTTAGGGGGTGGTGAACCAGGTCTTCTCCACTGTTTTGATTGTTGTTTTGTTTCCGGTGTACAGTAATGAACCCATGTTTCGTCCATAGTAACAAAACGATTCAAAAAATCATCTGCATCGGCTTCAAATAACTCCAACAGTCGCGTGAAATAGTCAATCGCGTCCTTTTTTGTTCAACTGAAAGCAGTCGCGAACCCAACTCGTTGACAATGATGTTTTGAGTTCGTTCATAAGAGATGCCTATAATCTCGGCTATCTCTCTAATTTTTAATCTGCGGTCTCCCATTATTAAATCAAGTACTTTTTTAATATTTTCGTCAGTAGTTGACGTCGAAGGCCTTCCAGAGCGGGGTTCATCTTTCACACTCTCTCTACCACGCTTAAATTCTACTATCCATTTTTTGACGGATGAATATGACAGAGCACAATCGCCTAATGTACTGACCATGTCATCATGGATGGCTTTTGATGATAGCCCCTTCTTATGGAGGTACTTAATGACGGCACGCTGCTCGATTTGCTCCATTCGCGGAAATTATGTCCGATTACTTTGTTAATAAATTTATAAAATCACAACTAATTATCGCACACGTTTCGAACTTCACACAATGAACTAGTCTGAACTGAACTAAATAATGTGGGTAGATTTGATTTTTAGAATTGAATGGATCTGTGTTAGGCCGAGTACTTTTCAATCCACCCTCGTAGAAACCCTTACGCAACCAAAACCCAGCGATTTGAATACTTTACACGTAATTTAATATGCAATAAATGGAATCTTTTTTGATAGAAAACTTTCTACAAACTTTTATTATTTTTATTAATTGTTATAATTTTCTGCGTATATTTGTGTCTGTATGTTTGTCTGTGTGTACATTTGACACAAGTGACTTTGTGCCCGCTTATACTACCTAATGAAAACCCTAAATTGCTTTGCAGTGTGGGAGGTATCAGTAATACGAATTTTTGCTGTAGCCTTGTGGCTAGGGAATGCAAAACCGGCCCAAATTAAAACCCGGTTTTTTTTTCCGGATTTCTTGCAAAAAAAACCGGTTTTCGGTGAGACCGGTTATTCTTTGTATAAACTATATAGTTAAGAGGATACCTTGAAAATGAATCGAAGTTTTGGGGGTGTGGCTTATTCCTTTGTCGGTGAAACTCCTTTGTCGGTCGACTGCGGGAGCACGGTAATATTATCTATACAGTATTGTAACTCGGCCGTATCTTTCAAATAAATGCCTACAGCCGTGCGGCACGTAAACATGTGATAGGGCTGCCTACCTCAGCATTTTTACATTTGCCTACTTTGTGTTTCCATTTAGTTTTATGATTGTAAATATACTTTTTATATAAACAAATAAAATAGGTACTTTGTGAATTGAATAGGAAGCGTTCAATAAAAATGCGTGTCGTTTTTTGATTTAATCGGTTAAATAAATTTGCAACCGAAAAATATTTGCACCCCGGCTGAGACTTACGAAATGCTTTAATATTAGATTTTTAAATATAAAAAATCCGCTTTCTAATATAAAGCTAAAAAATAATATAAATTAAAAATTGTTTTGGGAAACATGGACAACGTGGAGAAAAGGAATATCTTTTAATTGGTTATAGATACCTGCAGCTAGTTTACAATTCATATGTTTGTTTTTAAATGAAGTTCAGATTTATTATTTCTTTCTTTCTATTCTATTATTTATTTCCTCCATTTTTTTAATATATATTTCACAAAATCATGACTGCGGCACAGTCTCGACTGTCTGCATGCCGAGCGCATGCCGAGATCGAGGCGCGTAGGCATAGCTCTCGCTTCGTCCGTTTGTATGAAGTTGGAATACTGTATAGATTATATTACCGTGGCGGGAGTGTCAAAATGAAAGTGATGCAATGACTTCATAGTACGCAAATTATGAGATAGCCATACCGAGCAAGCGCTCGGAAAAAAACTAAGTAAGCGCCAAACAACATTTTTATTTATTTTAACAACACTTCGTTATGGATTAAAAAACTAGTTTATGAGAACTTAGATATGATTATTTACTATGCCTTAAAAATAATTCCATGAAATTATTCGTAAGAACATTGTGGTGTCATCGAGAAATGTAAATAATTAGAGCCTACTTTGCAATTTTCTTCATCATATAGTCGTCAAAAATCATATACCAAAATTTTGGTTTGTAATCTATAAAACTTGAAAAAATATGTTAAATATAAAAACCACCAAATTTTCGAGGTATCACCTTAAACTTCATGTGAAATTCAGGCTTATCTTTTCAATTATTAAATAGATACGTACATAATACCTATTAAAAGGAAATACATAATCAAGATTTCAATGAAAGTGCAGAAATTTATTAAAGAAAAAGTTTAATGAAAGGTTAGGTAAAACGACACAAAAACGGGTAAAACTCAATCTTTGAAAATATATTGACAAGACGAATGTGAAAAAAATAACTGGGTTTTTTAAACAATTCAAATATGTCGAAAAACCGGTTTTTCGGTTTTCGGGTAACCCGGTTTGCATTCCCTACTTGTGGCATATACCCATATACCTGTGGGGAAAGTTTTAAACGATTTGAGAAGTTGGAACACTTTCCAGGCCCCTGAGAGGTGCAAATCGTCTAGGCGCCTTCTCTACTTAGCATAATCCGACTGGTTAGTGCCTTCATATTTATTATAATACATGGATGCAAGAACAATCGGCACGACCAACAGACATTCTAACGAATGTATCATTTTATTAGTTCATAGTAAATAACATTTTTTATAAGATAAGGGTGACAAACGAGCACACAGTTCACCTGATGGTAAGTGGATGCTGCGACCCACAGACATCTACATCAATCCTCGATCACGAAACAAAATGCAGATGAATTGTCACCCATGAGGACTTAGATGGAAAGATTCCGGTTCAAAACAGCGTTAAGCGCAACGCTGATAAGAGTCGACCCATTCGGCTCTACCACGTGGAAACTGCATTTGGTTGCTTTGATTATTTATAACAATTATTTTCTTAAGTCATTTCAAATCTGAAAATTAAAGTTCCTAATATGGTAAATAATATTACAACCCTATCTAGTTAATGGAAACTACACTACGAGTTAATGCATTGACTTGGAGTTACATACTTATACCGATAGATGGCACTTCTTTCAAACAGAAATTAATATAAATAAAATTTGCGCAAATAATCTAAAGAATAATTCAAGCGTATTTACACCAATTTTTTTAATTATGTATAATTTTAAAATCAACCGAATTTTTTCTAACATGTTCATAAAAATACAACATTGCAACACCTACTTAATTGGATACAATGCAAGGAGTTCAAGCATTAACTTGGATTTTCAAAATTGTTCCGTTAGATGGCGCTTCTTGTAAACAGGAATTAAGAATGATTTGCAATAGTATGTAGTAAATATTAATAGTATAGTTATATTATTTTTAAGTTTTTATTATCCGAAATCTTAAAAAAATTGTATATTAATGAAATCAACTTTGTCTTTTCTGTGTTAATAAAAAATACAAAATTACTACACTTACTCAATTGCATTGATACGGAATTTCAAAATTGTTCCGTTAGATGGCGCTTCTTGCAAACAGGAATTAAAAATAATTTACAATAGTATGTAGTAAATATTAATGGTACAGTATTAATATTTAAGTTTTTTATTCGAAATCTTAAACATATTGTATATTATTGAAATCAACTTCGTAGTGAGTGTATAGAACCGGAGACACTTTTTACTGGAAACGAGGCATTCCATCTTAGTCCCCATGGGTGATAACGCATCTGCATTTTTATTTGTAATCGAGGATAGTGTAGATGTCGGACTTTCCAAAAAAAACCCAAGCAAAAGAAAAAAAAATGATGTAAGGTGAAAACCCTAAAATACACAAAAAGAAACCCAAAAATATATAAATGCCTGATGAGATATTACAGATTAGAGAGATGAGAGGAGAGATTAGACAAAACAAAATTCACGAGAAAAGAATCTCAATTTCATACATTTATTTTGGGACAAGATGCTGGCTTCTGCTATACATGTCCATCTTCATTTTGAACTAGGTACTACAGATAATTTTAAAGTTTAAATAAAGCTACTATAATTATATGTGTTTCCTACCTGTCATGATCTCTACTACGGCTGCGTTTTCTGTATCCTGAGTCCTCGCGGGAACTGTCGTCGATCCGCCGTCTTTTGGCTTCGTAAGTCCTGGACGGTGATCTGGAGTGTGACGAGTAGTGCTTCCTGCGAGTCCGCGGCATCTGCAAATAGCATACACCAAGCTTTACCAATTTCATTGAGCATAACTTCATTATAGTTGAGTTAAATGTACCATGAACAGATGGTTCAATACTATTAGGCAGCAATGTATGTCAATTATTAACTATAGTAATTAACAACAACATTACATTGTATCTACCAATACACTCCCAAATAATGTAGGGTTACTATGGATATGCGCAATATGTAGACAAGTTTTGCCATATAACTATTATTAGTTTATCTACTTATGTACCAAAACCAGTGTTGCAATGTATGAGATAGTTTAATAAAATTCAATTTTGAGCAGCCTCATTATTTGTTATAATTAATCACTGACATGAAAAACAGTTAAAAAACATATTGTATAAATAAGCAACTTTTAATACACGTAAATTTAATACTTAAATAAAAATTATATAATTTTTTACTGTCTAAAAAAAATAGGGTGTATTAGGTGAACAGAACAGAAGCCTATGGCACTCTTATTTTACTTTTTTTCTTTCTTAATTTACATTAACATATTATGAAGTTAATCTATCAATAAATAATAATAATTTGAAATGAACTTTTGGTACTAAAAAATAACAACACATTTTTGAACTAAATAAATAAACCAATTAAAAACTATCGAAATTAAAATAATATGTACCCAATTAGCAGTATTTATTGATACATCAATTTAATAATATGTTAATGTACAATAAATAAATATTGTAAAATATCGGTACCATAGGTTCTATCCGTTCTAGTCCATTCACCTGTTACACTCTATTTTTTTTCCAGACGGTAAAAAAACCATCCAGTAAAAAAAGTACTTGAATAATGAACACAAATTAAAATTACATAGGTATGTTGAAATTTGCCACATTAAGGTCTTTTGAAGACCTAAGTTAAAAATAAATACCTAGTTAGATTGAGTGGTACACTTTCATACATATAAATAATAAAATAAATATAATTTAAAAAATCATTTACTATTGCAGAATGCACAATAAATAATGACCGAGACCTAAAACACATCCAATAAATGAATCTCACATTCTGATTCATGTTCTACACAAGTGTGATCCCACAGTAGTATCGCCACTTTTCATGTCACTTTAGTATCTCATTGCACAATGGCAATACCCATATGAAATCATACTAACAAAGCCATATTCACCAATATAAACAGAACTTGCTATTAAAGTAATTACATGTTTTAATATAAGATTACACTCATAAAAGGATTATATTGTTAATATTATCCAGCAAAAAAATGTATAACACAGTTCTTACAAATAAACAATTTGGTTACTAGAAGAACAATACACATGTTTGTACACTAAAATGACAAATAATTAATTAGATGTAAAACTGAGATATTTCAAAGAACCTATTTTAATACTACTCTTTTTTTTAAATAAGTGTAACAAACAAGCACACATTCTCATAATGAATCCTTTATTAAGAATGAAAATGCAGGGGCGTTATTATAAGGCATTTATTATAAAGAGTAAAAGGAATTCAAGTTCCAGCCACTGAACCTACGAAACAGCAGTAATATGCTCCTATTTTTAACCTTGTATTCTGTATGAGCAGGTCATTCCACAGACAAGCTGATCTATTTGTGCTGCAACCATAATACAACTGCAGCTAGGGTGTATGGTGTATACCGTACCTAATAATAACCTTTACACATATATTTCATCAGTTCAATTGGAATAAATATATGAAATTGAGCGTATAATGTATGCAAATTCTATCTAACACAAAATGTCCAAAAAATAAAGTAACTGGATTAAAGAAGAAGGGTGGATGCTATATATATCCAGCCTTTTATTGCTAATTTTACTTTAAATATTCACGATTTTTAATAGGAGCCCAATATTATTACATACCATGCATGACAGCTATGATAAACTAAGCGGGAGGACATTCCGCAGTGGTCTTTTGATAGGCTGTAATGAATCTGTCGTGCCATTCAATGAAAATATGTTTTACTCAATAGGTTTTTTGTTAAAAATGTAAATGGATATGTATTTTATGGACAATTTTAAAAACAATGATAAACAAAAAGGAATGCTGGCTTAAATTCCAGCCTTGTATTAAATACCATGTCTTTTTGTACCAAACGTCATCCTAGTTTACGTCTATAAGCCTTATAATTTTTGGTGTTGTCGATTAGAGAAGCATGTCCAAAACATTTGTGTATAAGATAACAAGGCTCAATAGGTATTTGCAACACAAAATTCTATGGGTTCTAATAGACTTTCAGTCTTTAATGAATGAACGAATATATGATAAATATCTGATGAGTAATTTTTAGCATAAACTGCCAATGCCATTTACTACAATACTATTATCAAATGAACTAATATGCGGGCTGTACAAACACTCGTGTTTAAAAAGTAGGATGCATGTATTGCAATTAAGACAAATTAATAAGTATTCCTAAATTATTTTTAGGATAGATATTATATTATGCTGAATAATTGTCAATTTTTATTACTATAAGGTTTATTTTTCAATCCTCAGATTAAATGTCTATGTAACAATGTAACAAATAATTTGGTTTATTTAATGGTGAATAATTGGTTATTTTTTATTATATTTATTTATTGTTTATCAAACCACTGAAAATAAGTTATTTATTGATTAAGTTATAGGGTTGGCATACAAGCACATAGGTATTATGCAAGGTTTAGGAAACATTTCTTATATAGTAATGACTTAATATTTAGTTACACATGTACATTTTTATTCAAACACCATGTCAGTGATTAACTTTCATGGATCTAATATCAAATCTATAAATTATATTAAGATGTTAAAAGCCATTCCAATAATCATGCTTTAATACTTTAACTAGTCATTCTATTAAGGTATGGTTTAAGCGCTTTAGTAAATAATAATAAAAGTTAAAATAGGTAATACATCTAGTACCTTCACTTACCATAACAAGGATACCAAAACTCGTATCCAAGCAGTTTAGGCTGAAAAACATTAAACTTTTTAGACCATAGGTTACTGGTCAATAATTAAAGAGAGACAAATCTACAAATCCCGCATGCAACAATTAGAAAAGCTACACTAGACATTACCCTAAATACTTTGCTACATAATAATTGTATAGGATTATAAGAACTATTTCTTGCAGTCGTATTGAATCTAATAGTATTATCACTAGAACTTCTAATCCAGAACACATAACAAGGTAATAGTTATAATGAAAACAGAGATAATAGTAATAATGAAAACAGTGATTTGTGGAATTGCATTATACAATTTACAACTTTCGACAGTTCTAGTGTCGCAGTATGTATAATAGTAAATTTACATAAAACAATTTACTCACAGTAGCAGTGACTACAACTCTTTCAAAAGCGTCTACTACAACAAATTCATAATATTATAACGTGAAAAAAAAACACCAATTATTATGATGCGATAAACGATAGATGTCACTAAGTTATTTACATGCTGACGCCATGTTCGTTCTACGACTTGAAGGAGCCCTAGGCACGCCACTTTTGAAAGTAAAAAATACTATGTCAACTTACCCTCAGTTCTCGTAAATATTTCAATTTACACCAGAGTAGTTGAGTGAAATTAGTAAGACAATTCCAAGTACGTGTTGCGGATCCCTGTAGAATGCTTCTTCGCATTAAAGGGCCGAACATCGATCCGAAAGCAAGACAGACAAGTCTTGACAGTTGGTTCCACTGTGTTGGCGTAAATCGCACTTCAAATTACTTCCCTATCAACAAACAAACTTATTTTAAATACGTAATAAAAAATACGCTAAAAGTTAAATAATGATGTATTTATGGAATAATTTATTTAAAACGTTGTAATAAATAAATATCTTTATCATAAGTGCTCTCAAAATGTCGAATTAATATACATCAATATAGAGGAAGCTACAACGCCATCTTGTGAAGGTCTAGTGATAGGTGTTATTGCCAACATAATTCTTGATAAGAAACGTTTTGTGACGGCAATACAAACTTCAGTTTTCCTATGTCTTGATTTTTAATTATGTTTTTGTAAACGTAAGAAAATTTTATTATTATAAATTAAATATAACAACAATAAAACTTGTATAGAATTTAAGATCGTAGCAAAATTATTTTTTCCGGTCTTTAATAGAAAATAAGCATTATATATACTGCAGACTACATGCATGTACCTATGTGTATAAATATTGAGGAATGTATTTAGTGGATTCCTACATTTTTAGTAGATTTTGACCCCTAAAGCTTGGTAGTGGAAAATATTTCAGTATTTATCTACGGTACGGTATATTTCATAGATTAATTAATTTTTTGGTACAAATTTTGGCTTAAACGGTTTATCACACAGACATCATTTGCTTTATAATTATCAATTTGTTTCATTTGATTTATCATTTCTAAGGTTTTACATACACATAATATACATATACATTCATAAACTGCTTTTTTTGTTATCGTGTGTACTCAATTTTCAGGGTGCTATAAAGATTATTGTATTATTATTATTATAATTCTTTCGCATTTTACCCAGAGGGTTAGGCAGAAACTAAGAAGATAATAGGGTTCTCTGTCTACAATGCATACCTACATGTTTGTAGGTTAAGGGTACTCTTAAGGCCGGTCGCATACAAACGGAATTCCGTTTCGAGATTCCGTTTTGGAATTCCGAAACGGAACGGACAGGTCGGCCACACACGTACCGAATGCCGTTGGCATGGCCGGCTTAATTTCGCAATTCTCTAATATTTATTAAATAGGTATTTCTGACTATTAAATATTTATAAGCATATTCCATGTAAATGTTACATAATATGTCAATTTATTATTATATAATTATCAATTTCTTTTATATAATTATTGAAAATACAATCTTATATTACTGTGACCAACAGAGCCCATTAATTGAGTATCTAAGTTTGTTTCATGTATAATATAATTGTTGCTGCGCCTATCAAAGTGAACTTATCCGAGCTGATGTAGAAAGAACTCGTGTATAGGCAAGAGAGATAAAAGGTAGTTTAAATTAAATATTGAAGGCGTGACTTACGAACATAGCTTCGCACTCAATGTGACTTGCCTTATATTTTATATTATCTATGGTGAGTGCCAGATCCGGTAGTCCGTTGCGAAAAGATTTGGTCCGCCTTAACAAATACCTTCTGCTCCGGACCAAATTCAATAATCTATTACCGCCGCATGGCGGCAAATACCTATTTTAAAATAGAAGCCGTAGAGAGAGGGAAGCGGTGCGTGGGAGCGGCGCAACGTCAAGTAAGTATTTACTAGGTAGCTAGTACTTACAAAAGTGATAGGACTCGTTTTCCGCGTTAGTCCATCTGGGTAAGCACCACCAGCTTACCTACTTATGCAGCCAAACATCAGTGCCAACACTGATGCGTTCCGGTATGTAGCGCTTAGATCCCGTATAATTTTACAGAGTTAGGTATTCTGTTCTAAATAATCCAAAGTAAAAACGCATCCATAGCCTCCTTTGTTGAGTTGACTGCGGGTCTTCTTGGGCTACCAAAGCAGACGCGTGAGTACGCGAATGAACCCTCTGAGGACAGGTGTCGTTGACGGCTCTCTCATAAAGTAATTAAGTATATCGAATTTTGGCTTTGAGCTCAGAACTAGCTGAAGCCACGGCCGTTTACAATAAAAATACTCTGTGGTTATTTGTGTGCCTCGAGCATAGAGTAATTATATGGTTGACACTGAACGACGGCGCAACGTTCACAGAATGGAATGTAGAGGTAAGGAGAACCGTCTCATATGGAGAATAGTATAAAAAGTGTCCATCTTGTAATCAGTAAATAACTGTTCGAAAACTCCATAACAGCGTTAGAGTAGCTAGAGAGTATGAAATGAACTTAGCAATTGACGACGGACTAGAGTAGTTGATGAAACTGTACTATTTAAAACCTTAATTATTCACGTTGTCTAAAATAATTTTGTAAATATAACCTATAAAGTCACCATGAAACAAGTTGAAAGTGATTTTGAAAATAAAAATTATGAAAAGAATAAAAGAATTATGGTGAAAGTTTGTGGAATAAAAAGTTATAAAAAGTTCTTTAAAATTTACCCTCTAGCTACAGTGGCGCTACCCTTATTTAACGCTTTCCTGCGGACACTTTTTAAGATACTGATACGGTTCTCACTCCACAATCCATGGTTCCCGGTAACCGTGTATAGAAGCTTCAATATACGGCTGAAAAAAATAAATTTAATTCATAACGAGATAATTACCACCTTATATATAAGTTACTATAAAATTGCCTTTTAGTATTGGAAAATTAAAATAAAATAAAATAATAATAATTATTATTATTAACCAAAATATATTAGTAGATAAAACATATATTAGTAGTCTAAACTATAACACATTCATGCTAATTTTTGTGCTATTTTTTGTTAATACCCTAGCAATAAATATCTGTTATGCGAGAATATCTGTTAGGGGGTCATTGTAGAAGCGTGCTCGTCGCGACCCCTGCCAGCCCTTTTCAGGGCTGCAATTCTACACAGCTGCGCACCCATGCAAACGAGGGTTAGGGCGTCCCCCCAAGGCGACGCACACCAGCTCGTCCCCGTTGGTGTGGAATGCAGCGCGCAAAGCGGCGATTGGGACCGCCACCCGTCACGCACAGCCCGACACGGCGAAAGGTGGAGGACGGAGTGCAGAGTTGGCACGTGGAATGTTAGAGGGGGCATGAGAGATAAGACGAATGAGTAAATGAATCGAAATAATGAAAGAAAGAGAATTAGATGTCGTGTGTATGTCGGAGACCAAACGGAAAGGCAGTGGTACTGAAGAGCTCCCTGGCGGGACGTTAGCTATATGGTCCGGAGTCCCGGAAAGCGAGAACGCCTGCCAGGGAGTGGGAGTGCTGTTGTCGTCCCGGTTGGTCGATCTTATGACTGAATACAAGGTTGTGAACTCAAGACTTCTCTGGTATTCGCTTCAAAATTGGACTGACGAAGTTATTCCTTTTGGCTGTTTATGCGCCGGTAGCTTCGTCGTCCAGGGCTGAGCTGGAGGAGTTTTGGGAGAATGTAAGAGAAGTTCTAGATTTGGTTAAGGGAAACGAAAGAACTGTTGTATGTGGTGATTTGAATGGATGGGTAGGTATCGCTCGACCAGGATACGAGTCGGTGCTTGGAAAGTTTGGCGATAAAAGGGTTAATGACGCTGGCAAGCTTATACTGGCTGTATGCAAGGAAAAGGGTCTTCTTGTGACAAACACTATGTTTAATCACAGGAAAATCCATATGTACACTAGAGAAAGAAAGAATGGGAGAAGTATGATTGATTTGTTCCTGGTGGATGACCGACTGCGAAAACAGGTGATGGATACACGAGTGTTCAGGGGTGCTGACCTGGGAACGGATCATTATCTAGTAATTACTAGATTTAGGGGTTTGTTCGCGGGTTGGCGCTACCGGACGGCAGTAACAGAACCACAGTCGGTCTGTCGCATCCGAAGCTGGAAGCTTCAGGAAGCGGATACTAGGGACAAATATCACACGAAGGTAGCCGAAAAGCTTGACACCATCGATGGCAGGAAAGAATGTAAGTGCAGCGGAAGAAGTATGTGGTACGACAAAAAGAGGTAGTAGTAAAAGAAGAGATGCATGATGGAATGATGAAGTGAGAGAAGCTGTAAAAAAAGAAGAAAAAAGCATGGTTAGACTACTTGGCCTCTAGTAACGATGAGCATATGAGAGAGAAGATGAAAGAAAGATATAAGCTGCAGAAAGTTCATGTGAAAACATTGATTGAGGAAGTACGTGAAAGGTGTAGAATAGAAGCGGACGAGAGGTTGTCGCACAACTTTAGGGAAAACTCCAAACTCTTCTGGAAAGAGGTTGGAAGGTCCCGGAGTGGTGCGACAGCCTTAAGAATGAACAAAGTGCTTTCGAGAACAAACGACGTCCTCACAGAAAAATCGGACGTCATGCAGCGATGGAGTGAATTTTATAGAGAAATGTATGCGTGTCATGATCTTGGTGAAGGATCCGGGGGTGACGCCGTGACTGGCACGCCAGACACGGACCTCGATGACACTGAGGTCATCAGCATGAAAGAGATTGAACGTGCGATTCGAAGTTTGAAATGTGGTAAGGCTGCGGGACTAGACAGAGTTACTGCTGAAATGGTCAAGTACGGTGGGCCTCGCGTCTGGGAGAGCTTCCATCTGCTGTGCAATTTGTGCTGGCGGACGGGAGATGTCCCGGATGATTGGCGATCCGCGGTCATTGTGCCTTTTATATAAAGGTAAAGGTTCACATTTTGACTGCGGGTGCTATCGGGCGATCAGCTTGACCAGTTTAGCAAGTAAAGTTTACTCGAAGGTTTTGACACGTAGGATGCAAGAGAAATCGGAAAGATTCTTATGGGAGGCACAATGCGGATTTAGACCTGGAAGAGGATGCACGGATCAAATGTTTTCTCTCCGCATGATCACGGAGAAGCTTCTGAGTGTTAACCAGAAGATTTTCTGTGCTTTTGTGGATCTGGAGAAAGCATTTGATAAGGTTATAAGGAAGAAAATGTGGGAACTGTTGCCGGGATATGGTGTGGATGGTCGATTGTTAAGGGCTGTGCAGTCACTTTACTATGACTGTAAAGCCTGTGTGCGGGTAGGGCATGACCTGTCACCCAT